CTGTTCTGGAGCCCCTATCACCTGTCTCTCTTACACAAAGTTTACTTTACATATTTCATTGTTTGCCTGTGTCAGATAGTCCTTTCCAGCACGGCCTGAGAGCACAGGGAGGCCCTCACTGCCTTGACAAGACATGCTGATCTCTGAACATCCTGGTGCCATCAGGAATGTACACTGGGCTGTACCAGCCCTCTGCTGTCAGGGGACACAAATGTTATCATTGCTTACTGAAATGCCTCCACAGACTCCTGGGCTGATATAAAAAGAGACAGAATACTTAAATGGCATGTACATTTAGCATATAGAAAGACCAACTGGTTTGGAAAAAAAGATACAGCTAATGACAGTTTTTATTCATGTACTGCTTTTCTGACTGCTCTATTACCACATTAGAAGCCTAAATTTGCAATTGAAAACAGCTGCTATTTGGCTTACTCACTCTCTAGTTCTTGGACCAAAGTAAGCAGTGTGTCCTACCAGAATCTCAATAGCTTGAAAAACATATCAGTTTCCATGAACTCTGAGACCAAGAGTTTTCTGCTGAGATTTTTCCCTGAGAAAGTAGAGCAGAACTGCTTGACAATGCTCAGAAACACCTGCCTCTTACTAAGTAGGTCTTTTCTTGAGCTCAGTTTATTTTGTCTTGGAAGAAAAAAAAAAAGGTGATCATTAGATCTAAATCCAAACACATTCATTCACCTAGAAGCATGATCCAACTAATATTAGTCACCAACCTTAATGCTGGGCAAAGTGACTCACATTAATCCCATCAAGAATGTGCTGCTGGTACTGTTTGCATCAGCAGAAAAGCACATCTGTCTGTGGTAATGAGATTTATTGTGCAGGCAAAGTCCAGGAGTGTCTAAAACCAATTTAGCACTAAAACCTCAACTACTTTGGGTTGTCATGGAATTGACAAAGGTGTAAGGACAGATTTTCCTCCACCACTCACCTGGCTGTGTTGTTTGCTGCTGCACTAAATACTGAGACTGCCCCTGAGGCATCTCAGCAGAGCTCTGGGGAAGTGACACTAAGCTGAAAGGCAAGGATCCTTTCTGGAAAACCAAAAATCAGCTAGGAAGAATGAGAAAGCAAAACTGCTAATGCCCAAACACAAGCTGGAAGCACCTTCCTTGTTCAGAGACAGGTACAGATTGCTTTTCTTCAAGTTATGATTTCCAGCATTCAGGAAGCTCAGATGTACTGTGTTATACTGGGAAGGTATGTTTTATATTGCATTTGCAGTGATAATATATCCTTACTGCTTTGAAATGAGGTCTGCAAAGCCCAAAAAGGCAGCTGTATTTCTAAACACAGAGTACCATTTACATTACAAGCAAGGATGTCAACACAGGCAACAAGGCAGAAAGGGGAGTTGGAAATAGCAAATACACAAAAAATTTAGATACACAGAAGTGTGTCCTAATGTTTACCCATATTCCAATGCTTCAAGAAGACTGAACACTTTGACATAATCTGAAGAGCCTTTGCCAGCCAGACTGTTTGATGTTGTGTTGGCTCTGTGACAAAGCCAGTCTGTGCAGGAACGCTGGCATTGTTTTCTGATCAAAGCAGCCCTAATGGCATTAAACCTGAGTTGTGGTCTGACGTGCTTTCTTCGCTCAGCCATCAGTTCTCTACTCTGCCACCAACTTTTTCTTGAGCTGTTGCATTATGATATTCTGCTGTTTTAAAGCATTCTCAGATGTTTATTTCAGCTAATAAGAATTGATATTCCCATATTTTCTGCTACGCTAGGCATGGAGACAGGAGGTTGTGCATACACAGAAAAGGCTGCTTGTGATGGTGATACTCAGTTTCTATTGACTCCAAGGACATTGCAAGGGGAAAAGGAAGCAGGAGAGCTTTAACAATTTTTGGATTAGACACTTGTGCAGCATAATAGTGAAATATGTCTTTAAAACTAAGCATGTGCTTATTTTCCTTTTACAAAAGGCAGGTGTAGAGCAACTGTGGCTATAGCAGGATGTGAATGGGTTACCCCAGTAACCCATGCACCACCCTCACAGGATGAGATGCTGCCCATTCATGCAGCTCTCTCACTTTATACTTGTCTTTGCCTTCACAGATAGCAAAAGGGTCTTACAATTTCAAATGAAAGTAGACTACTTTGCTGTTACAAAATCAAACATCAGATGCTCAGAAAATACAGCTCCACTGGTGGCAACCAAAGCACAATAGATTAAAGTGACTTCATAACTTAAGTCTCAGTTTGCTAGTACTAGTTTCTCTGCTCAAATGTGACACAACCCATCTAAGAGCACTTTACACAGAACTTACAGGTAGAGTTAAGGGTTTCTTCATTGCTATGCTGCTTCCCAAGTTCATATTGTCCACTGCAATCACTGTTGCTGCTGCAACTCAAATTTCTCTTTTGTTGACTGTGATTGCACCAGAGAGAGCATGAGGGAACGTGAGAGTCAGTGATGCTACAGGCTGGATATGAGCTCCTGTAGTCACATTTATCACCTGACTTTAAAACATTCAGTGTGGCCTAACACTGCCTCCTTGAAAGCAAGGGAGTCAAGCTGACTCTTCATTCTCTTATAGTTTTTGAGCAGCTGTCATTGGTTTAAAATGAGTTAGGTTTAGTAGATATTCCATCTCCACTTTATAGCACAATTGACCTGACCTAAATAGGTGAAGACATATCCCTACCAAAGCTGTAACAGGCATCAGGGATGGATGAAAAGACTTAATAGAAAACAACTTTTAGACTTTTTACAGAAGAACTCAAGCTGAATGTATTATGAAGTTCTTAAATGTCCAAACACATTTTATTGCCTTCTGGTTTCCAGATGGGTGTGCATCCAGAACACCAGAATACCACAAATATGCTACTTTTTTTTTTTTTTTCCCCCAGCTGCAATCAGAAGCAGCTGTAACAGAAGGCTATAGAAAAGCCTGATTCTTAGAGTATGCCTGTCTCTGGTTTTCAAAAAATGAGAAGTTTAGATAATTTGAGTAAACTTTGTACGGACATCCAATTATTTAGGATTGCATTAGGACACATATTTCAAACTCTTGGAAGCATATCCTTCACTAGCTCCTTGCTCCTAATGAAGGAAGTGGAATACTCCAGTGGGTAAAATTCAAGGGACAGGACTCTTGTTTAGCCCAGCTCTAATAAAAAAGGCTGGTTCTGCCAGTATTACTGGAATTCTCTACTGCTCAATTTTCCCATTATTCTAGGGAATCAAACTTCTAAAGCAATTTGTTGGATTGTCAGATTACCACCCCTACTTTTGTTGTTTTTTTAATTAACTGCATCCATTTGCAGTGATGAATTTACTATTTTTTTCAGCATCCCCCTGAATTCTATTCAAAATCCAGTAACTGATCAGCATTTTGGGGTTTAATCAGAAAGGTGTCAAGAGGCCCTAGGACCAGCTGGCTCTGAAAGTTGAAGGCACACAACCATCTGAGAAGCTGTACAGCACCTTGCAAGATGAAGACCACAAAGGCCGTATTTAGTATTTGCATATCAATTTTAAACCCATTGTATGCCTTTCCAAGCTGGCTGTACTGTCCTTTTACTCAGCAGGCTTACAGAGCTACCTGCACACACCCTGTCCAAAACATTTGCCCATATTAAGCAAGTGATCTCCTATCGAAATCTGCATGAACCTTGTGGTGAAGGGCAGGAAAATGAAGCTGCTTTTAAAGTTCTAATTTTTATCCAGCTTTATGGAAAAATTTAAATCAGAAAAGGTCATAATTTAGCCAAATAATAAATTCATTAATATTAGTTCCCAGTATCTAGAAAGAATAAATAATATCTAAATAAACAAATCTAAGTAAGTGAAGACAAATACTAACTCATGGGCTTATATGGAAGTTGGCTGAAACCTGCAGCAATCCTGACTCATAATAAAAATGATTTATTTAGAGACTTATTATGAACATTGCAGGAAAGGTGATAACAGACATGTACCACTTTGTTTACAGTAAAATTTCCTGTAAATTAAATAGTTCTTATTCTTTGTTTGGTTTTGATTTGGTATTGTACCAAGTATCTGTTTATAAAAGGAAATATGACAGTACAAAGTGTACAAAGGGAATTGAAGAAGAGATTAACAGTTAGGGTGAACTTGCTTTAAATTAAGTCCTAGCAACACAGACAGTATATATCCCATTATTATCTTATATAGGTAAAGAAAGTCAGTTCAAAGCAGATCTTTCATGAACCATTTCTGAGAGCTGAACTACTGAAATTCAGGACAGAAAGCTACTCTCCCAAAAGATTTTAAAAAAATACTCAGGTGACTAAGAGATATGGCAGGAAAAAAATGTTGCAGAGCACAACAAAGGAAAAGTTTGATATAAAGTAGGCACTGTGTTCCAAGGGATTAAGTATTGAGGATTTTCTCCTTTTTGTGGATTATTTTGTTTATAACACTCCCTAAACAGCTTATTAAGGAATCTTTCTGAAGTCATATTTATATGACAAAGTATGTCTCAACCTCAAATCATCCCATCCCACAGGGAATCTTCTGGGGGCACTCCTGGATGAAGATAATGATTTCACAGTTGAAAAAGAATAATGAAGAAACACATTATATGTTTTATCAGGAAACCAGAAGAGAATCTGTTTTGTAGAAACAACTCCTTGGGTTGGATTAACATTGGATCCAGCCTGGTATCTCCAGAGATCAGACTTCATGGGTCTCCAAGGTCTCCACCCGGGGAAAGAAAATACTTGTGGATGGAAGAACTGGATCTGGGTCATATTAATTCTCCTTCTACATATAACCAAGATTGACATGGAGGATAGAATTGTGAAATCAGTGCCATTATCTGAAGGCCAGGAGTTACCTGTGTTCACAGGGTTTACTCCAAACAGTCCTAAGATCCGTTGTTTGATATTTAGAGCTAAAAAATTAATGCTGGATTTTTCAACTCATGTAGTTAATCAAACCAGTTTGCAGCCAGTCCTGTGCATACAAGCTCAGTGGTTTAGAAGGTATGCCAGCACTCACCTGGGGGCATGTGTTCATTCATGATGACAAGTGATGCTGGCGTCGGCCTTCTTTTCCTGATCTGGAACAGATACAAACCAAGGGCAGTCAGTAGGGTCCATCAGCTGCCACACACACAAGGCAAAGCTAAAAATCTGTCTGGTGTCCTCCAGAGTATAGACCAGGCAAAGTTAAAAAGGAAACTATTTAAAGAACAGCAGCACTTCACTGCCTTAGTGACAGCCTGTCTGCTCTGACAGCAATCAGGGTCATGCCGCTGCTTGTCCAGGGAGACCAAAGGCATGGGGAGAGCTGTCCAAAATACCTTTGGGATTTGTAATCATCTTGAATTCAGTTTGTTGGATATGTATTGCTGAAAAATATCAGTCACAGCTTAAAATATTGACATTTAGCTTTGCATCAGGAAGATGATTTCATAGTTTCTGAGCCTGCATGTACAAATACCTGGTACTGCCATAGTTCTCTCAAGTAATAATAATATCTTTCAAGTGCATTTCAGAGTTTTGCAGGTATGCCTTCCAATGAGCTCATGTTTCTAAACTGTTGTCAGAGGTGTTACTTCAGTAAGAGTTCCTTAACTAAAAATATTCCTGTATTTAAGATCCTTAAAAAGAGTATTTCCAATATAGCAGATTTTACATACCAGTACATACTCCTGAATTGTATGCAATTCTTCAGAGTTTATCTGGGTAACTACTTTTGTTCCACTAACAGTGGCTGAACTACATGGTATTGGCATGCCCTCTTATAATGCACACATTTGCACTGAAAGCTTTGTATTGCTTCACAAAAGCCTCCAGGCCTGATATTCTATTGAATTTAAGACAGGGACCAGGAGCATTTAAGCTAGAAACCTTCTGACACAAAACCTCAATGTCAGTGCATTTGTTCTTTTTTATTTGCTGAGCCAACATCTGTATTTAGCTAGGTTCAAATTTTGCTTTCAGAGGTGTAAATGGAAAGTTACATCATCAGGGTTAATGGGTTTATTCTAGATTAGTGTAACTGTAGCTGACTGTAGAATTTACTATTTTAATTTCATCACACACCCACAGTGAAACTGTATAGCACTTGGAATCAAACTCACAACGCACACACACACACACAAAAAAGGGACTGCCCATAAATACCAGGCAGAAAATAGGCTACAGCATTTCAACAGCTATGGGAATTCCAGGAAATCCTAATCCTATGGTTCTCACAGATTGCAGAAAAACACCAGAACACATTCTGCTTGAATTCACTGCAGAACTGTTCTGTGAGGGCTGGATAGTTTCACAGCTCAGAAGTGCCTACCGACAAAATGGGGATCCACAACAATTCTTTTCTGCACCCTTCTAATATTTCGCATTCAGTGATCACTCCCAACTCATCACTTTCTGGAAAAGCTCTCTGCCTTTTAAGAGACACAACATCAGTGCATTCAGGAAACCAGGTACAAATTATTTCATGGCTACTGGTATGGAACTTTCAAGGTTATAATATTCCCCTGGTATCATCTAAAATCAGATGTACCCAAATAGAAGCAAATGTTGAGGACAACTTGCACAGAGAGAAATATACTGGGTCACCTAATTAAGATTTATACAGTTTTCTCACAAAACTGCCTGTGACCTTTTATTAGGCACATCTACACATATCTGTACACAGTAATGGGTATCTTTTCCTCCTTAGACATCAGTACTGAGATACATATATATATCAGTACTATATATATATATATATGTATGCATATTTATATATATATATTATTATGTGTATCTTTTGGGAGTGAGTTAAAACTTAAAATAGCACACATATTATTCCAGCAAGGACATAAGTACGGCGTATTTCTACATGTATATATTTTTCAGGCACGTAAAACATTGTAAAAATGACTTGAAGACTGTAAAAAATCATGAGAAATATAGGAACTAACTGAAATGATGACTATTGTGCAAAAAATTAATTGTATTTTCTCATGTTAAAATGAAAGGTAAGCTGTTTTCCCAATACTTCTGTTAGGTACCTATTATGCTTTGCTTTATGTACATATAATACACTTGAATTGATTTGTTGAGAATGCATTCGTTGAGTGTATTTATGTGAAATGTAAGTATTAGGGTAAAAGTGCAGTTACAGAAAAAGCACAACAAATATACATTAATAAACCTACCCAAGGTGAAGAAGCCTTATTCTGGCTAGAGGACATATCCTTCTCCCTCTTTAAGCATATCAAACATCACTATCACCTCTGGAGTATTTAATCTACAGTTTCACTAACATAAGCTAGGAAAGCCTTTAGGCCACAAGTATCACCCACATCCTGCCCCATTCCCTGGAAACAGTGAAGGAAACTCATCCTGCTTACCTGCTCAGCTGCCTCAGGGTCTATTTGGCTCTGAAACAGGGGCACAGCAAACTGTATTTTTTTGGGGCTGTTGGGCTCCATGGCGATGCTGAGGTGGGGCAGAGGAGAGCAGAGCCTGGAGCTGGAGCTGGAGCTGGGTCTGTGCTGAGCCCCGGCGCCGCGGCCGGGCTGGAGCTCCGCAGGAACAGCTGTAACTCCCGACTTAGCCCGGGAATCTGCGCCAGCCCAGCGGCTCCCGTACTCCACATCCACAGAGATGCCACTGGCTTGGCTATTTTCTTTTTTTTTTTTTCCCCTCTCCCCTCTCTTCAGCAGCCCTTCAGATCCTCTCAGCAGAAAGCTGGAAGGAACAATAAGCTAATTGTGTACCGGCTCACTTCCACATATGCCAAGCATTCACTCAGGGGCTAATTGAAAATGCAATACTAGCACTGCACGGCCTGGAGCCTTGGGATTTGAAAAAGAGGATCTCTCCACCGTATATTACTAACTGGCTGCTCAGAAGTGCAATGCAAGCTCCCTCTGAGTATTGCTGATGGGCTCTTAATTATTGATGAACACAAATCAGGAAGTTTTCAGATTTTGGGGGTGGAGGTAGCAGAAGGGGTGGATTCAAAAATTCGATCTCTGCTACAGTGTGCCAGAACCGCTCTCCTCTTTGCACATATCAAACAATTCCCTTTGCTCTTTCAAATATTTTTTTAATCCTACAATTTTAGACTCTACTGAATCTTACAGGAAGATTTTTGATGATGATTCTACAGAGTTGTCCACAATTTCATGACACTTCACTGGTGGGTTTGCACCTTAGGCCTGGTTTTCATACTTAGACTGTGATTTATTTTGGTGGGCTCCATTTCACGTGATTCCAGATACTGACAACACTCACATTTGTGCCAGCTCTCTGGGCTCCCTCCCTGTGCTAAGCACATCAACAGGCCTCTCACTCTGTCCAAGTCAAGTAGGATATAGTGTTTACTCAAGATTACATTTTCTCTCTGTTAACTCTAGAAAAAGGAAAGATGATTCAGACTAGTTAAACCACTTTTGGATGACTAAAATTCAGAGGCTAAATCCTACTTAAAATCTGTGCCTTATTCCAAGATCAGGAAAATAATTTGGTCAATCATATCAATAGTACTCCTTCATGCATATAATTGATTTTCATTTGTAATTTCATGTTATTTCAAAAGCGTGTGAAACAACATCCAGCAATCACTGATCTAGCCTGCCTCTTTGCAAAACTCAGAGGAATTTGAAAATGTTCAGGCCGCTGAGAGTACTAAGGATTTTCACAGCTCACCACAAGCTTATTGAGTCACTGAGTACTTTCCCACATGTGCCAGAGGAGGAGGCAGGGAAGGAGTGAGGATTGAGGGTGAGAGCAATGCACTGGCCATACACACAGCACAAACCAGCAAGTCAGACATGAAATACTTGTTTGGCTTTGATTTTTGCAAATTAAAACCATGACACATTAGGAACACCAGGCTGTTTCTGAGCAGAGGCAAGCACACAAGCTAGCTGGTTTGGGAAGAACCTGATAAAGCTTAGGAGGGGAGGATAAACTTTAATCTAAGGATCCAGTTGGCTCAATGATCAAAAATTAACTCTCCATGAGGGCCAAAATTCCCCTCTTCGTCCAAATCAAAGCTACTGTGAACCATAGTTGTTCCCAGCTGACAACTAGTAGCTGGCAACTTTACTGTTTGATTTCTTATGATAGTTTAAGTGGCATTAACTTAGACTTTTGAATCACAAAAGAATCTGATTGGTCAGGACCTTCTGCAGATACTTGGTCCCACCACCCCTGCTCGAAGTAGGGCATGAGACCAGCTTATTCTGGGACCTCTTAGTCTGAATTCTCAATGTTTTTGGTGCTTAAGTGAAATGCTTAGCTTCATTTAACACAACAAATGAAAGAGATGCACAAAACACTGATATTCAGTGTTTCATATGCCCATTTTTAAGCCTTCACTGCTCCCACAAAGACAAAATATAATTTGTTTTATAGACTTCCTCAGTTAGAGCAAGAGTGCAATTGTTGTGGTGGCACAAGGAAGTCTAAGGCACTAAAGTAAGAGAGCCACACTCTGCTTTCAACAGGACAATTAGAGAATTGTTTTCAGGACAGTCTGATTATCCAGTTTCACAGTTCCTTCATGCACAGATGTGCCATTATCTTCAATGACAGCTTCAGAGACATACCAGGGATATACACACACACATACACAGGGTTACACCTGGGGGGGGACATAAGCAGGGATCTGAAGTAGCTTTCCTCTTGAGCTTTGATACTTGAAAGAAAATAATGTTTGCTGTGTTTTTGCTGTGAGATACTGTGAGAAAAATGTTTTCCAGATACATTGATACCATAACTATTAATAAATTGCATATTTTAAATATCAAGTTTCTCTAGAAAATACCTGTTTTCCATAAAATATTTATTATAGATGTCTATGAAACTTCATGTATTAAGTTGTACAATTACAATTCTAATATATGCTACTGATCACAGGAGCTATAGTTTCACTGCAAAGGCTTAACATTTCTTATGTCAATGATAAAGTAATTTTATAAACCATATTCAGACAGTAAAAACTTATTAAAACATTAAGTGCTGAAAGGATTATAACGGTGTGTTTCAGCTCTAGATTGCTGGACATTGCTGTCCAAAGGAATCATGTCTCAAATGCATCTTTATTAATGGTATATAAGAAACAAGCTGAGCAACCTTACAAAGAACCCAAACCAACAAAGCCACTTTTTGGCAGCTTCTGAAGGGAGACAGACAACAGGACAGACCAGAACACAAGGACTAATCCTTAATGGGGCTGGCTAGATTGGGAGAGAGGCCCCCCAAGAATGTGATGTGGAAGCATTTGCTCCCTGCTGCTTTTCTCCCTGTGCCTATTTGGAGCTGGCAGCCCAACAATCTTCACATGCACTAATACAATACCAGTATTTTTAAAATAGTATAAGAGGCATAGTGAGAGAGCACTCAGCTATAGCATTTCAGGATGCCTACCTTGGCTCCCTCTCACACCAATTTGCAGCATTAGAAGCCTGCAGGCAAAGTGTGCTGGCATTTTCTATAGACTGCATCATAGTCTGGGGACAGCTGAAACACTTAAGTACTGACACATCCTTGTAGTTCATCTTCTGTTTTTAGTGCACTCCCCACAACTTCAGTTTCAGATGCCTTCATGATTCAGCTAAAACTGTAATGGAATTAAAAATAATAAGAACTGTCCAAGATCTTTCCTTCCTACATCATTCACTATGTTCTGGTATGAAGCCTTTTAGAATATCCTGGTGTAGGGATGAGCTGTGGAAGCACTCGTGGCATAGTTCCTGCTTGAGCTATTTCCCCTGGTGTCTAGGAAAGGTTTCTATCTTGTTTCCAGCCAAAGACAAGGCTTCTAGGGTGGCAATTCAAGGGTGTTGGTTCTGCACTCTTTGCACAAGTTTTGTTGTGGCCCTGATCTGCCTCAGCTCCTCTAGTGTGGTCAGAGACTACTGCAGCATCACTCTGGAGAGGAGAGCTGGAGCTCCTTGTAAAACAAACCTGCTTAGGGCTTTGGCTCCTAAACTCACCAGTGCAGATGCAGAGAAGCACTAAGTTGCAGCACGCTGATCCAACAGGGGCCTTTGCAGAGCAAGTTTAGACGTGGCAATTCTTCCAGTGTGTCTCAGACACAACTTTAGTACCCATTTTAGCCACTGATATGTGAGAGATTTAACAAAGGTATGTTGCCCTGTGCTTTCCCTGGGCTCTCCAGCTGGCCCCTCTCCTCACAGCAATGCATCCTCAGCATGGGAGCCCCAGCAGCATCAGAGGGAGAACACTGCAGAGCATTCTGGCTCTCTGCTACAGCCAAAAGGGCTTCCATGTGCCTCTTCCTTCTGCCTTTTTCTAAAAACTGATGAACAGCTTCTTCCCTGCCTTTGCCCAGACAGGGGCATCGGTTTGCCCTTTGGGGCTCTGCACTGTGCCTCACTCATGGGTGCTAAAATCAGACAGAAGCCTTCCAAGAATAAAAAAATTACATATTCAAAATGACACTGAAATTTTCCTTTCCAAACAGCATTGCAAACAGGGTGACTCCCACTGAGCTGCTGGAAACACAGTCTGCTATTTATATATAGAAAATGCAAAGAATTTCATATTTGCCAGGGAGGTAGAATGGAGAGCAGATCTCATCTGCCTCATGAGTACCAAGTGCTGCCACAGCCAGGTCAAGAAGAAGAACAGAAAGTCTTTCTGAGCAGTGACAGAGTCAGTGGGACATTCAGAGAGAGCTGTTGGCCTGGTAACAGTCTAACCCAAATTTCCATTGCCAGCTCTTATCCACAGAGTATCAGGTTTGGACTTGTTTATGTACTAACTATATATGCGGATACATAAAGCCTAGATAAGTAAAGAGATACAGCTATTTCTATTTATACAAGCTCTTTAGTTAAGATAATAAATAATTCCTCAGCAGTATGGTTTTAATCAGAATCAGTTAAAAGTTATTTTATCTGAGCACAGAAGAACTTACACTGTCTATTCCAGTCTTCCTCTGAAATTCATAGCTCTCCACACTTTGAAGTAATGTACAAACATTTACTGCTAGATCCCATCCACTACCATCAGTAGAATACACACATCTAAAACACAGGAAAGGAGCTGGATTAATGGGACATGACCTGAGCAGACAGTCAAAAGATTCTTGCCTAATATGGACTATAGTTCAATAGTGCAGGAAGCAAAACTCTGGTACTGATTTTAGGAGGGTATTTCAGCAGGAAAAGATGCTACAATTTGCTTCCTTACCAAGAATAGGATAAATCTAATACATCTTTCAATAAACAAAACTGTGTAGTGTAACATAGGTTTTAGAATAAATTTATATTACGTTATTTCCATATTAAATCTTTAATGAAAAAGTTGCCTGACTATATCACTGAATTAAACAACTGAAATATAAAATTCAGTTGTTACTGTAAATTTCTTTAAACACAAGTTAAAATATAGAACACGTAGAAGATAAACCAAAGAATAAACTTCCACAGTTTCAGAATCTGAGTTAGAAAACCCCTGTGCAAACACATATTCCCAGGCAGAAAATGAAAAGTCACCAAGTACCTGTAAAAGCTCAGTATGCCAATTTCAGAACATGTTCTTAAAATTCTGATTTTTGAATTTGAGACTTCAGATGGCCCTTCTTTCTTGCCTCCTCCTCCTCTCCCTCTAAGAACATGC